TCCACCTTCAAGGCGATTCAAGATTATTCAAGATTCTTGATTAGCAGAGCTCGATGATGCCACGCGAGCTGCTGAGGGTTGCGGTACTCACTACTGACGAGAGGAGTCAAGTGAAAGGACAAAGGAGACTAGCAACAGGGAACCATATGCTCGTCACACAGATTGACTTTTCGTTGATGCACCCGCCTTGCAATGAAGCACGAACTGCAGACATGCTCCGAAGGCGTCACTCTTGACTCGAACGATCCCATATCGCAAATCAAGCGCAAAGGGTTTTGGATGCTGGATTCTGGATTGAAGGCCTCTTGCAGACAGCTGCGGATCGCTGTGGGTCGCGGTCGTACTTTTTGGCTTTGCTTCACGAAAGCGAGGATTGCAGCAAGCCCGCTCAGGAGGCTGCGAGGCTTCGAAGAGCGTTATGATCAAGTCAAGATTCTACGGCCAAGACTTGTCACCCGCAATTGACGATGCAGATTTGCAAATCAAATTCTCGATTTGCTCACAGATCAATTAAGAAGCAAGAACGCGATACGCCCAGCACGGATAGTCACGAGTGCTAAGTCGTACAGCTTGGATCCATATTTGAGAATACGAAGACCATCAGTCTGGCATATATGTGAGGTATGTGAGGACACAACAAGTCTGAGTCTGAATAACAAATGCTAGCACTGTGTCTCTGAACCGGGCGGTTGATTGTGATTGACTCGCCGCGGATGCAGCAAAACAGTCAAAGTGCGCGGGGACCGACATCAGCATCTTGTATATGTTCATTCAGATTAGAAACATACAACGCGGCAGCAGCGCAGAAACAGATGGCGGATGTGAGGTGCGCTACATCGCAAACACGAGCTGGTTACATGGCACCAGTTAGGCCGACTGGAATACATGTCTTTGCGCAACATCCCTCTGTGAGTAGAGTCACGAGTGGAAAACATGGTGAATCACCAATCAGAAGGCAGAATTGCGAGTTGTCGAGTGATTTCAGGGGTGAGACACAGCGTCAAACTGCTCGCGATCGATTCTGATTCATTTGTCGATTCATGGCTGATGCGTTTCCAGAAGCGAGCAGTCACAGTCGTGAGTCGATGATGAGGATCACGGTGATGGGTGAAGGATCAAGACTCAGCTAGACTGCTGCATGACTTCCACTTTGCTGACTCTGACGTCTCGAAGCTCATACGAGGCACCAACTTTGTCACGCTCCTGCTCTCTACACCTTCTTCAGACATGCTGTCCCGTCCCAAGACGGCTTCCGCACGCTTTGGCGGCCGCGTCGACGACCTCGATGAGGGATCAACATCCGACGCATCCTCCTACTACACGGATGCATCTGATCAGCGTCCACCTGCTGGAGGCAAATGTGAGTTGATGCAACTTCATGATCTAATGCGATTGCCCCTTCTCTCGCTCTGACATTCGAGCATGCAACGCCCTATGACTTTACAGGGGCCTTGGTGGAAGTTCTCCCCATTCGCAATCGCAACCGCAGTCCAGTGACGCCAACGACGAACACCGCATCCTTAGCAAACGTCTCAAGTCAAAATGAGCATCTCCCCTCCCGTGAGTTTCCGTCGTAGACATGTGACGCAGGAAAATTGCCGCAGGCCTGTGCAGGCCTCTGTGAGAATCAAGAACAACAGTTGCTCAGAGCATCGATTCCAACGACCAACAAAAAGCATCTTCATCTGCACGCGTCAATATTGGCGATGCTACGTGCGTGCGCTTCGACTTGCGACTCTCGGAATTCGCCAAGTCAAGCGCCTTGGACTCTCTGACCATCGAGGTGTATGTGAGTGAGCAGCAGTGCCGCAACTATCGTCCAAATAGACGCATTCAGCACCGAGTCGTCTTTCCCTGTCACAGCACGAGAATTACAAACGGGTGAAGGTGATCTGGACCTTGGATGACTATGGAGCACCTGGCATCGAGTGAGCAAATCGCAGATATCGGATCAGTGGCGACGCGTTTGCTGACACGACTCAAATCTTGCAGCTTCTTGACTCCAACTCTCAGTGAGTCTGCAACAGTGTAGATCATTGTCGAGCTTTAGAGGACCCTCGGTTTGATCGAGCCCCTCCTTTGATCCTCGCTCCTGCGCAGGCATCCCCTCGGACACCAGTCATTGCGATGTAAAAGCGCGCGTCACAACGGAGGGCACGCTTGCAGATTCATTCCAGCCGTTGACATTTTCCTTTCGCGTAGGTCGGCTGGCGGCCAGCGAGAGGGTCATCTATGCAGGCGCTAACCTGGCCGCTACTTTGTTGCATCTTGCCAGCTGGTCCGCACGCGGGCCCCTTTGAGGCGCAATTGGCTCCAGTGAGTATACTTGCTTCAAGATGTTGTGAAGCAGGTAGCCAGTCTTTCGATTGGACTCAGCTCGTACGTGCCGCTATCGTGCTTGTACAGAGAAGAGCTGAAAGCCATTGACAAAAAGAATAAAGACATGGCTGCAGGGTCCATTGCTCGACTTCCCGCCAGCAATGCCGAAGCTTTGCCCGAGTGTGGCGATTTGGTGCCCTCAGGCCTTCCTTCGCCTGTTCAACCGACGCTTGACGCTTCTTCTGATGCTGCAACTGCTGCGTCCAAGTCAAATGCGGCTGCCATGGCCCTTACAGAGAATATCGGCTCCCAGATGTCTTGGAGCGCTATCGGTACCATCGATACTCAGGCAAGCTCTACGAATGGCGCGTCCAAAGACAAAGACAAAGTGCTCTCTCCTAGTGCCAGCCCGACCAACACGGTGCCGAGTCCAGGCAGCGCCTCTTCCAAGTGGGCCGTCTTGAGTCTACCATCGAGCCCGACTGTACAACAAAAGACCGTCACTCCATCCGTCGATTCTTCCGTCTCGGCAGGGCTCGCCATTCGCGGTGCAGGCAAGCAAGTTGCGAACGATTGGGACGTCGTGCTGGATGATGGATGCGAGGATGGCATCCGAATGAAGATTCCAGACGTAGTCAACAGCGACGAGACAGAGGAGAAGGAGGATGTAAAGAAGATGAAAAAGGATGAGTGGTGGATGTGGGACCAAAATGGTACTGCATCTTCACAGGCTGCCCCAAAACCTCATCTAGAGACCCAAAGGTCTGTCAAAGAGCGAGCTGCACCAGCGCCTCAACAGATCTATCCTCCTCAACGCGCGTCACAGCTTCTCGCGCTCAACAAGGTGAAGGATCTTGCGGTGGAGCGAAAGAATGGCGATACTGCGCAAAAGATGCAAGCTTCGCCAATGGCAGCAGCTACGCGATCCGCTTCATCAGTCAACGCAGGGGCCGATGGGGCACAGGCGGCGGTCGCAGATGTCGAGGGGTGAGAATCGCAAAATCTCATGACTATCCGCAACTCGTCTGACCCTCAACATCTTGCCCTCATTTAGCCCCGCATCCTTGAACGATGACGAGTCTTTGCAATCACAGATTGACAAGCTACTGGCGGAGTAGGATGCCGGCAAATTCTCTCTTTGCGCGCCATGGTCGATGTCACAGCTCAGGCCGATGCCTCACGCACATTGATTCACATTGCACTGCTCTGCAGAATTGCAGACCTTTCCAATCACTTGTCCTCCCCCCCCTCTCAAATGTTCTTCTTCTGCGCCCAACGAGTATAGGCTCCAGGACCAAAGCCCCGCTCATGCATCGGAGGCAGAGCGCTGTCCACCAATCGCATGAGACCCAACGCTTTCTCGTCTTCGCGCGGGCGCGTGATGACTTTCATTTGCAAAAATGATGACGAATTCAGCAAGCGCAACGCGCGCAATCCGCCTAATACACTGCGACTCACCTTGTACGGCAACAGGAAGTCCGTGGCTTTGCTCAGCATTGTACAAAGCCTTCTTTCCAGAGTAAATTCTCCAAGATAACACGCCACTCGTGGATTTGAAAGCTGCTCTCGCGATGTCCGAGTGCGCTTGAGGACCCCAAAGGGGGCTGCGATCTTTGTACGTCGCGCGGTCCACCTTCGCATCGACCCTCGTTACGGGTACGATAGCTACCGAGGTATCGAGGACCTGTCAAGGCAATGTTCCTCGTAATCCGAGTGAGAGGTGGCCTTCCACGAAGCCCAAGAATCGGCTTGATACTCACGTTGTAGAGGAATGTGGAACTGGCGCAGATGCTGATCTCGTCCGTGCCGTGCACCACTGGTGCGGGCAGAGGGAACACAGGTCTGAAGAAGGGCAGTGATGAATAGGAGCCCACGGTATGCGCAGTTGCACCTGTTCCACTCACGCAATGATACCATCAAGCCTGTAGCCCTCCCAGACGCGCTCCTCCCAAGCCTCGATAAAGTCATCCTTTTCGCCCTCCTGTATCCGATCGCGCGAGTTTTGGCGTTTGTGATCAGCAAACAAATCCCAATCTCGGCGCTCCTTCCCAAACGTACCGTACTTGTGTACTGCCCGGCTGTCTTGCGGCCAGCGGTTCCACCTGCAGCAGCGAATGAGGGGTCTTTCAAGAAAAAGCGGACGCTGACGAGATCAAAAGCAAGGGGGTTAGAGCTAGCGCTTCAAAAGGTTGAATCTGGAGCTCGCTCACAAAGATAGCAGCAGCACCTTCAAAAAGGTTGGAACTGGACGGATAGATGGATGTAGCGCTCAGTCCTGGCTACGACTTTTGGTGGAGCGATGGCAAACCCACCTCTAGCCACGAGGAACATGACGAACAAAGCGCTGTCCGTTCTGTCCGTTCCGATATGCTTCCTAAAGTTGGCGAATGCATCACTGGAAACCAAGCCATTGAAAATCCTGATGCTTTTCACGATTTGCAGGTCTGTGTGTGGAATCTCCACGAGCTCCACATTGTCGCCATGGGCTGTTTGAAGAGCCGAGACGGCTTCCAAGACCCCTCGAATACAAGCGGGAGACGTTCGGTTGAAGCCCTGTGGATCGTAGCATGCTCGACATCAGCATTTTACAAAAGGAGTCAAGTGCGCAATGACCGAATCAACGCACGTCGCATACGTAGTATCCGATCCTCAACTTTCCCTTCCCGCCGTTCCTTGCCTTGGCTGCCCCGAGCGGGTCATCCAGCCACTTCGCGTGCAGAGGCAGATGAGGCATAGCTTCCGCACCAAACCTCCTCTGGTGCTGTCTGATGCTCAGATCTCCTATCGTTGACAGATCAGATGGGTGTAGCGCTTCGATGTAAGCTCTGTGTAGCACTTCAAGATCCTTGGCGCTTCTTGCCATCGGTCCGGCGACTACATGGATGGCGTGGAAGCCAGGATTGATAGCAGGACCTCCGTGCAGCGGGTATCTTCCCCCAGACGCCTTGAGCGCATATATGCCACAGAAACCAGTTGGCACGCGCAGTGAGCCTCCTATATCGCTTCCCAGTCCTGCCGCACTCCCATCGGCTCCGAGCAGCGCCGCTTCTCCTCCAGAAGAGCCGCCACAAATATTGTGTGGGTTCCAAGGATTGGAAGTTTGTCCAAACAAAGGATTACGAGAGTCGATAGCGATCATGGTCTGCGGCACGTTGGTCTTGACGAAGGGAATTGCTCCCAGATGTTCTCCCAAGCGTACAATGGCCGCGGTGTGATCGGTAGGCCCGTTCTTGATCCAGGAGCTGAAGCCTACCGTCAAGTGTGTGCCTCGGAGAGCATACTGCTCCTTCACCGACAAAGGTACACCATGAAGGGGTCCTACAAGCTTTCCAGTCTTCTGGAACTCTGCATCCAGCCATGCTGCTCTCTTCAGTGCTTGCTCGTAGTAGATCTCGGTAAGAGGTCTGCACCTCTCTTGAGCCCTGATGGAGCTGCGAATGTAGGCCTGCAATACGCGAGTAGAGGTCCATTTCTTGTCAAGAATGCCAGAGGTGATTGTTTCTATGTCTGAGGACAGGATCTCTGCTTCGAGAGCTGCCTCGGATGGCGAGGGATGCAGACCGAGCCTGTCCTGCGCCGACGCTATCAAAGCATCTCTAGCTTGAATGTGCGATGCGATCAGCAGGCTATTGGAGCTCGTGAACGGCCACATCTTGTGTTTCGAAGGCGACGCGAGAGATCGTGGAGTGCAATGCACAGATAGGTATAAGCTTCCTAAAGGTCAAAGGCGAAAACGGAAAGACGTGGCCAGTTCGACCAGTAGTCACCAATTGCGAGTGAAGTCAACAATCGTGAGTTTGAGTACTCTTAAAGCGACACCCGCGCGGCGAACTTCCGGCTACTTGAGCGTGAACCTTGCCCGTGCGGGGAAGGGGTCCAGCAGCGTGCAGAAAGGGCGGCCCCCTGGTGATGGTGGGACCAAAGATGCACAGTCCCACCACAGTTGTGAGTGTGAAAGCGCGGAGCGGAAGTCATCAAGAGTCGTGAGTTTAATCTTGAATCAAGCATTCACTAGCCAGCATTGAGGATCGTCCAGTGCGCCTTGCAATCTTGCATTGTTTCGGACTGCCTTGTGACTTTTGCGGCGCATGTATGGCTATTGTTACACTCAATTGGTACACTCGAGATTGTAAAAGACAAGCGGGGAGACTGCAAAGAACAGGTAGCAGGAATGAAGAGCGTCGGTAGAGTACAATAGCGATGCTATCCCGAGGGCTGCCAGCAGGTGGGTCTTTGCCTACGCAGGACCGGGTCTACATTGACTCAGGACGTGTCTCAGAGCGCCTTGCAAGCTTTCCGCGGTAGCGAGCGCAGGGTGCACAGCGCCAATTCCGTTGCTTGCATTGCCATGCGCGTTCGGATCGGTCGAAGGCACGTACGCAGAGATCTCAAAGACGTACGTTTTGGCAAATGTCTCTACGAGATCGAGGATGCGCTGGGATTCTCCGGCTAAAAGGACGCGCCATTTCCTTTGCACGAGCAAGAGCAAGAAGCCGGCAGCATGCGAAAGCAGCTTTTCAAACGCGTAAAGGGCGCAACGAACATTAGCGCAACGAGTCTCGGAGATTTGTCTAGGAACGAGTCAGCTACACTCACAAAATGATAGAAGGTTGGGAGGTACACGAGACGATCGGCAAAGCCATTCTTTGCAGATGCCAGGAGTAGTGCAGAGACGGCAGACTCTTTTGCAGAACTGACAGCTCTAGATTGAGCCAATTGAAAGCCTCCATCCTGCGCCGCCAGCTGCGCTACGTGAGGGTGCATGACCCCTTCCGGTTCGTTGGCTAGTGAGCCAACATGCGCCCTGGCGAGATGGTAAGTCAGCGAGACATCCATCGCTGAGGCTGTAGCTGCGCTAAGATCTTCATGAGCTCCAGCCTCCAGCCTCCAGCGTTCGATCTCTTCCAACCAAGTGGTCCAGGTTCTGGCAATGCGTGACACTTCGCCCGGTGATGTCCGCCCTGCGCCTTCTCGTTGCGCTTGTTGCGCACCCAACAGGATGGAAAGGATGCCCGCATGCGCGAGAAGTTGCCGATCTTATGATGCAGTATTTTCCATG